ATATTTTAAAATAGTAGGTGATTAAAGTAATTCTAAAGATTATTGATTACTACTTTTATTACACTAATAAGATTCATAACTAATAATATAATTATGAATATTTTTATTCATCTTTAGCTAATAAAACTATTAAGAAACTGCTATATATATCTTGTTAATTCTAATATATCCTGTAATTAATATGTCATAAAATTTAAACAAGATTTTTAACTTTAAGTTTTTATTATCTGAAATAGCTAGATGATTGATATTCTTCAAGTAAAATAATTCTTCTTTTAACTCAAAGTTTTTTATTTTAGTCTGTTACTTTAGGTTAGTACTAAAGATAATTTCTTAACTAGTTATAGCTTGCAGTAGTCAATCAGAAAGTTGTGATAAAGTTATGGTAATCAATCAGAAAATTGTGATAGAGTTGCAGTAGTTATGACTTTCATCACTAGTTAATACTACTGAGATTCTTCAAGACTTCATAAATTTCTTCAAAATATTTATCTTCTTGATATTTCTTTATCAAGTTTTCTTTATTAATAAAATTATTAATGATAACTGTAATATTTGTCAGATATGATTAGTGAAAAAGTGCATCTACTACTATATTATCTTTATTAAACTTATATTTTACTTTAAAGTTACTGACTTATAATATTTCTAACTAACAAATCTATTTCTTGAAAAAATTATATTGGATTTTAATATATTTCAAGAAGGTATAGTCTGTAATTATTATAAACTTTTGTTCTTTAAAATATGATTTCCAAAGTTTAATAATATATACAATTACAAATAGTTTTTTTTTATAAACTAGATAGTTTTATTTTGCAGATAAAAGTTTTTTTGACTTAAAGGCTATTGATTAATTACTTTTATCTTGATTTTAGCTTAATATAGCTCCTATAGTAAAGTCTAATACATTTATTATAATTGTGAATAATAATTTTGAATTAGATAATAATAAAATTAGTACTAATATGAGATATTATTTTAAAGTATTAAATACTTGTTACATTATAATAAACTATTTATACTTTATATTTTTATGTAAAAGTATTATAAAAAATGATGCTATTGCTGAAAATTCTTTTACAAATTTTTTGTAATAACTTAATATTCTAGAAAAAGTAAAGTTCTAATATATTTATTAGTATTGACTAATCTTTAATTATGATAATCTTTCTTTGATTAACTAATATATTATCTGCTGATATGAAATATTTTAAATATTCTATATATAATATATTACAAAAAAATGACACATAAATAAACTTGTATATCTTAATAATTATCTAACAGAAATAAATGAAAGTGATTTTATTTTAAAGCTTATAAATTACTTTATTAAATATAAAAATTTTAATATGAAATTCTTTCCCCATTTTTTTATAATACTAGTTCACAATAATTTTTTATAGATCTGATTAAATTTTGTATAATATTCTGAGGAATTTTATCTCACTCTTTTATTATAAATTACTTTAACTCACTAATATCTTTATATATTCTTTTTTTATATTATTTTTAACAATCTGTCATATATTCTTGATAGAATTCAAATCAGAATTATTTTAGATAGTTACTTTATTACATAAATATTATTTTAGGATAAAAAATTCTTTGCAATATGTAAAATATACTTAAAATTATTATTTTATTGCAAATACTATCTTCTATCATATAATAATCAGTCAATTAAAATAAATAAAAGAAGCTGAATTTGTAAAATATTTATATAAAGAAACTATTTATTATATTTATAAAGCAAAATACTAATCTTTTAATTTACATATTATTTTTTTTATAACACACTATATTATTATATAATATCATATTTCTTTTATTTTAATATATAATTTATGCTTGTAAAGTATATTCAAGACTATCTGAAGATATTATATATATTTTTTTTTGATCTTGTTATATATTAGAATATTATTCAAATATATAATTACAAATTTATCTAGGTAATTATAAAATATATTATTTATTAGCATCATGAAAATTACTAATATATTAATAAGATCAAAAAATAGAATTAAAAACTCATAATATCTATAATAAGTTCTAAATATAATTTTATATATATCTTCTTCTGTAATATGTATTTAATAATATTCTAAATATAAGTCTAGCTTTAAAAAGTATTTTAATTCTATAAGTCTATTCATTAACTTATTAACTCTTGATAATAAATAGTAATTTTTAATGATAACTTTATTCAAAGCTTTATAATTAATATATAGTTTTAATATATTTTTTTTCTTATATATAAAAAGAACTAATACTTTAAAAGATGAAATGTTTAGATGAATAAAATCTTTTTGTATTAAATTAGTTAATTATTTCTTAAGCTCATTCATTTTAGTAAAAGAAAGTCTATAAATGAGTCTGGATAGTGAATTAAATTCTGAAATAATCAATTTTATAATTAATTACTCTTTTAAATAGTAATTAATTTGATAGGATTTCAGAAAATATATTTTTATATCTTTTTTTGATATCTAATGCTTCAGATAAAAGTAACTTTTCTTTTATTTTTTCTTTATTTTTAGTATTATTAAGATGTATTATAAAAAGTTTTATATCTGCTGACAGATTAATAATTTGCTGTTTTGATATATAGATTAAATTGCAGTTAGAACCTGACTTAATTTTATTATCAGCTTGAACTTTTATTATTTTTGATCTATAGGTAAAAATTATAATATTGTTTCTTTAATTTATAGTTAGATTAACATAGAATAATCAAGATTTATTTAGAATAAGATCATATTTCTGTAGTTTTAATACTTATATATCTATCTTATATATTTATCTTATATACAATATTTTATAAGTATTTAATTTTAGTTTATCAATCTTAATTATAATGATGACTATTATCTTTTTGTCATCTGCAAGTTCAATTATAACTAAAGTAGTCTTTTATAATTTAACTTTATTCTTTTATACAAATTTCTCATCAATAAAATTTCTGAATATGTCATTATCTAGTAATATTTATGCTAACTTGTTATTTACTTGACTATTGAATTTCAATAATCTCTTTTTATTATCTTTTAGATAAGCAAATTCTACTCTCTTATATGATTATGAAGACTCTTCTTATTTATTTTTTATATTTATTATTTTGATCTTGAATTTAAAGTAATAATTTTTAGCAAAATTATCTGATTTGTTATAGTTATAACAGGTATCTTTAGACTTATTATTTTTTTGATTATTATTATTCTTTCTGTTATTGTAATAACTTTCAACTTGATCTAATTTTATTAGTATAGAACTATTATTTTGATGACTTTTATGTTGATTCTGAAAGTAATAACTATTATTATTATATCTGCTTGAAAAATCTAGTAATCTGTCTTATTCATATATTGCTGTATCATATCTGATTACTAATTTTCAAGCTTCTTCTAAGATTTCTGGTATCTGATAATTGATTTTCATCTTTGTAGTAAATTTCAAATCTTCTATAAAATATGTGACTTGATCTAGATCACTTATTTTAGTTATTTGACTAACTATATTTCTAAATTTAGTATTATAGTCTTATACTGAATCAGTTTAATAAAGAAAATATAATTATCTGTAAAGATACTATTAATAATGAGATGATTAAAATATATCTCTAAGAGCTGTGACAAAGACTTGTCAATCCTCAAAAGATGAGATACTATTATCTGCCTTTACTTTATTGAGATATCAATATAAGATTGCATCTGTTAAAAAGATAGTGACATACTATATCTGAGTTTTTTCATCTGTAATTTCTTGAGCCTGAAATATTATTTTAACTTGCATTATCCAGACAAGTACATTTTTATTTGATTCTTCAGAATAGGTAAGTAGTTTTACTAAGAGGTGAGGTGAAGACTTAGAACCAGAGGAACCATCTTCTTTAACTATTTTGATTAATTCAGTCATGCAGGTAATATTCTTACTGAGAAATATAATCATCTTGATTTAACTACTGTTTTAGATCTTTTATTTTTACAACAAAATTCAACTATTTTTACAATTGTTCCTAAATAACTTATAATATAATTTATTATTCAAAAATCAACAATATAATATGATCTTTATAATATATAGTTTATTATTCAAAAATCAATGTTATAATACTTTTATTTTACATGTATATTTTTTATTATAATATCAATATGCTATTTTTATTAAACAATTAAAAATTTACTATATATAGAAATATCTATTAATGGACTGGTTAATCGTAGTTAACCATAAAAAATTATAAGATTAACTGGTTAAGAATTTTAACCGTTTAGTGCGGATACTACTTGCATGACGCAATGAATGATTATCTTATTTCTAAATATGGAAGATAGAACTTAACCATGGTTAACCGCTTTGAGAAAAATCCTAACCGGTTGAAACTTTTTAAGCAGTTAACCGATTAAGGCCTAACCGGTTAGGATCACTATATAGTACGCCCGCTTCCATCTCCACTTCTGTTACTACGAGACGGTTACGCTAATTAAAGAAATATAAGTCTGCAGAACTTATCGACTTCCTGTGTAAAGAAGACTTGGAACTTGACGGTGATGACTTGGAATACTTCGCGGACAAAAGGTTAATGGACGTGCCTTCCTCAAGACGACTAAGGAAGAATTTCAAAGTTTAGGTTTGAGTTTTGGACCTGCGAAAAATCTTGCGGACTTCGCCAAGGAGTGTAAGGAGAAAAAGTTGAAGGCGTTCTCGTCCTTCCGCAGTTTGAAGGATGTGTTGAAAGATTATAAGCTTAACTCCGATGGCACGAGCACTATCCCACTATTCTCCATACAAACTCACGAAATTCAAGATACGAACAAACGCTTCGCTCACTATGTGGAAGATATTTTGTCCAGGATGTTGAATTACGGGTTATTGGTCGTGGATAGTTTGGAGTCCATGCGCAATGAATACATTTCGACTATACTTCACACAGCCCTTAAAATTGCGAGAGACAACACGGGTAAGGAGTTCAGCATGAGGCCTGAATATGAAGTAATTGGTGATGAACGTTGTGGGCGTGTCTATTATGCAATCAAGGAGGCAGAGAACCTTCTATGCGTTACAGAAGACAAGGTCCAGAGTAACATACTTGAAGGCTTCGCTCAGAATATCAAACAGCTCGAAAGTTTGTATGAAATGAACAAGAAGCGAAAGCGGGACTGATGAGGATGATTTCGACTACCTCTATGGTATTCTGACAACTGCCCGCGATTGGCATTTCTTTATTCTCTAGGTGAGATTTCACAGGCGAGCGAACTTCCCATTGCTATCGAATTTACAAGAGGGCTTTGGACAAAAGTTCCAACACTTACAAATCATTGCGCAGTGCTGTGAAAGAAGTTTTGGAAATAATCGTGGGGTTGTTAAAAGATAGGGTATGTGCGGAAGACGACTCCCACAAAGAAAAAAGCTAGAATAGAGGGTTATCGTTCGAAAAAATAATCATGTAAAGTGATATTATCAGTTATCCACAACATATTCAACTGGTAATTCTTTGATAAAGATGTCGGGTATTCTGGCCAACTTTGGGTTCGTCTCTGACGCATTAATTTTTTCTGATATCTATTAACTTCGTGTTTTAAAAATGGATTACGCTTCCATGATGTGAGACGTATCCATGCCTCATTTATTAGGGAAGCAGGTAATTTCGCTAGTAAGTTAGAATATGTCTGATAAATATTTATACATTGCGCAAAAAAATTGACCACCAGTCAGCTTTATTATAATAATTCTAAAAATAAAATAGAACTATGAAAGGATCGGTTCATCTATAATTTCGCAAAACTTGCCAGTGGCATCCCGAAATCTGGCACTCATCCTCACATTTTTGAACTCTTTATCATGCCAGAAATGGACAACATTTAATCCTCTTTTCTGAAACTTTTCGCATTGCCAATATGGATTGGTTACAATAAAATCTTCACGAGAGAAGTGTACGATCCAAATTTCTTGGGGACGAAGTTGCTCAGTATACTTGAACACTTGCTCGAAATGTCCATTTAATTTTGAAATCGATGCTGTTGCCAAGAGTTCAAGAAGAGCTTCCAGATGGGGACTATCAGGTTTCTTTATAGTTAGGTCGCAATAAAGATGATGGTAGTCGCCGTCATCACAAACTTGTTCTAGATGCCACTGGCCAGTAATTTCATAGCCATGGACTTTTCTTAACCAATTTACTAGGACCCGGTACATTTCAGCATCATATGTACTTTCCCTAGGAACTTTAATACAATGCTCGGAATTCACATACAAGTGGTTTGAACTTTTGTATGAGCGGGAGGAACCTAGCGCTATTATACCTTGGTCGAAGTCACGAACTGCAATCTTCAAAATCTCTAAAATATCTATAGATCCATCATTTCGTAATGGAATGTTTACAGAAATATCTAAAACTTCGCCAATATTTCGTTTTTTAGCAACAGGAGCGGAAAGAATTAACGAATCTAATTTTGAAGGGACGGGCCTCTCTGAAATCACCTCTTCTTGTCGGTTAGAAATATCAGCTAAAGGTTTGCGAACTTTTTTTCCATTAACCTATATAAAAAATAGATTACCCCTCAGTAATAAGTATCATCATTGGGGTAATGAAATAAAAATGAAAAATATTTTTAGAAAAGTGTTACCAGAGGTAGCAACCAAGTATTTTTTAAATAAAGCGCCCAGAACACGGAAAATTATTAGTATATTTTTATCAAAAGGAAGGTACGGTACATAACCGATTCCTCCTCAAAAAATATCACTAAATAATCTCACTACATCCAACAGAATGATTATGCTAAAGTACTGCAATAACCGAGGGCTTATATATCCCCAAGCGAAAGCTTCTTGTACTTAACATATCATATCTGAAAAAATGCGTGTTTTGGTTATAAAATAAAATCACATACCTTTTTCTTAAGTAAAAGATTTCTAACCACTTCAAGAATTTCTTGTGAGGTGTTCGGATCATCACGAAAAATATATAAAGTATTATAAAATACTGTATGCGCCTCATTTCTTTCGATAGGGCCAAATATATTAGTAGACCAGGATATAAAATGCTGAATAGACCATATACAGCATGGAAAAAGCCAAAAGTATTCGATTTTGCCTTTTTTGAGAACTCTCGTTTGCTCTTGAAGTATTTTAGCTTGTTTTTCAAGTTTCATAGCAGGCCCCCGCTTTATACCATCTTTCATAAATTTTTTTTCGGTCATGTCTGAGAAAATTTGACCATCGATTTTCTGTTTACGAATAATTTTAAAATCGTCCTCATCAAGGCTTAAGTTTAGCTCATGCAAAAAAACAATAAGAGTCTCAGTGTCCCAGTTTTCAACCAAAGAGGAGCGGCTTGCAGGTGTAGAAGTAGACATAATGATTTATTGATTAGATGTAAAAAAAAGCAAAAAAAATAAGTAGTATGATATACATAACGAACTTACCCCTCCGGTCTTTTTATAAAAAAAATTAGGAAGGCGCGTTAAATTGTTTTAACTAAAGACGCGTTTTATATCAATGTAGATATCACAAATTGGACCAACCAAATTTCAAATTTCCTAATATGAGTTTTACCCCTGATATAAGCCACAAGTTTCTAATTCGGATAAATAATGCGGCATAAACAAAAGCGGGACAGTTCGTAGCTCTCGGAATGGACTACGTCATCACGTAGATCCCAATCCGCGTGATATTGGACACGGGATCAGATCTCGTGATTAGTAAAATTAGCAACGTATGAAGTTAGTATATAATGAAAGTCTCAAATAAATTCAAATATATGAAGATATATTAATAAGATATCAACTAATGAATTAAAATAAAAATAATTCATTAATTTTGATAATATAATAAAAGTAAGATCATAATAAAAATAGTGAAAGAAAATTTAATTATAAATAAGAAGAACTTTAGAATAGAAAAGTAATATAAAATTATAATTAAGAATTAAGTTTAATAGAATTATAAAATAATTCACTATTATAATAAAAGTTTTTATTAAATAAAATAAAAATAATTATTATTTACATATATTTCTTTAAATTATTATTGATCTATTCTCACACTCTTATTAATAAAGTTTATTCTAAGATTACAAATATTAAATAATAAAACTATAATATTATGATCAATAAATTATCTTCTTAAGCTAAAACTAGTATTATAACTTGAAAAATTTAATTAACTCAATAAAGAATTATAGTATTAATTAATAAAATTATAAATTAATTAATAGAAAATTAACTAAAAAATAATTTATAATCATATAGTTTTATAAAGTATTCAATAGATTCACTAAATAATAATAATATATATAATATATTAAATTTAGACTTAAAATATGTAATTTTTTCTTATATAATAATATTATTAATAAAATTTAAAATTTTTAATTCAAATAAAAAAGAAATATTTATAATTTATATATAGATATTAAGCTAAATTTTTTTATCTTTTATTAAAAAAAAAGATTTAATTAAATTTACTAACTTATTAGATAATATATTTAATATAAATAAGATTTATTTATTAAAAATTTTATCAAATTTCATAAATAATTTTTTTATAAAAATAAATTTAAATAATATAAAATAAATAATTAATCTGATAATCAAATTTAATAATAATTATTAAATAATATATTTGTAAAAATTACAAAGAGAAAATTATTAAATTTAATTTTTGAGTTTTAATCATATATTACTCTTATATTAAATTTTTTTTTAAGCTAATAAAATTTATATTATTATAAAATATCTAGAATATTTAAAATAATATAAAATTTCTTAATTATAATATAACTTATTATATTAATTTTTATTATATATAAAAAAAATATTAAAAATTTATTAAATCTAAATATTAATATTATAAAGATTCTTATATAAAATACAAAAATATATTTAAAAAATATATTTTAATTAGAAATTTTAAAATATTACTCATAATAATAAATATTATTAATATTAAAAATAAATATTTTAAAAAAATATTAATATTAGTAATAATATTATTATCATAATGATATAAAATTCCTTAATTTCTTAATTTTTTCATGATTATACAAAATCATATTTTCTTATAATTTCTATTTATTTAAAAATATCTCTATTTTTATATCATATATTTATTTTTTTTATTACTATATTTATTATCATATTTTTATTTTTAAATATTATATTTTA